TCGGTCCTTTTGAGATTCTTGATCCAGTGGGAGAGGTGGCTTACAGACTTGTGTTACCACCAAGCTTATCAGCGGTACATCCAGTGTTTTATATGTCCATTCTTCGGAAGTATCACGACGATCCATCCCACGTGTTAGATTTCAGTTAAGGATTTGACCTACGAGGAGGAGCCGGTAGCTATTCCAGACCGCCAGGTTTGTTAGTTAAGATCGAAAAGTTATCCTTCGATTCATGTGTAGTGGAGAGGTCAGCCTGTTGAGGCAGCTATCTGGGAGTCCGAGTCCGATATGCGGAGTAGATATCCCCATCTTTTAACTAGCTCAGGTACTTTTTTATGTCCGTTCGAGGACGAATGGTTGTTTTAGAGGTGGAGAATATGATGATCCAAAAGGTCATCTCGTGTTTTAGAACCCAACTCGGGGTTCCAAGGCCTTCAAGACCCCATTTTCTTTCTCCTCACTTTTCGTGCGCAGTCCAAGCGTGTTTCCGGGAAGCCTTTATGTGAAATTTGAGAAAATTACTAAGTTTTGCCTTCAAAATTAATTTAGGTTGGCTTCGGTTAATATTTTGAGTAATCGGATCCGGACCCGTGATTTGATGGTCCTGGAGAGTCCATAGTAAAATATGGGACTTGGGCGTATGCCTGGAACTAAATTCCGAGGTCCCTAGCCCAAAGAATGAATTTTTGAAGAAAATTTTTAAACTAAAAATATAATGGTTTTTAGAAATTAAATAACGTTTGAGCTTATTGGTATCGGGACGGTATTTTGATTTTAGAGCCCGGTACAGGTTTAATATGGTATTTAAGTCATGTTTGTAAAATTTGGTGAGAAACGGGACTGATTTGACGTGATTCGGACCCTGGGTTGTGAAAATAGAAACTTTAAGTGTTCTTTAGGATTTTATTGATTTTGATGTTAATTCGTAGTTCTAGGTGTTAATTTGGCGATTTGACCTCCCGAGCAAGTTCATATAAGGTGTTAAGACTTGTGTGTATGTTTGGTTTGGAGCCCCGAGGACTCGGGTGATTTTCAGATAGGCTACGGGGTGTCTAGACTTAGAGGAAGACATGGTGTTGAATGGTTGCATAAAATTGCAGGTCTCAAATCTTAGGAGTGCGGCCGCAGAGGGAAATTCGCGGACCACGGTAGTAGAACGCGACCGCGGTGAAGATTTCGCGGATGCGGTAGGGTAATGCCAAGGTTTCGCGGCCGCACCCATAATTCTGCGGACCGCGGTGAAGATTTCACGGATGTAATAGTGTAAGGCCCAGGTTTCGCGACCGCACACATAATTTTGCGGACCTCGCAGTAAGGATCCGGGGGTGCTATATAAATGGGACTTTTTGTCCATTTTTCACTTTTTCAAAACCATAAAACATAAGAGGCGATTTTTCAAATACTTTTTCTTCCCCAAATCATAAGTAAGTGATTCTTAACTCATTTCTTTCACTTTTTTACTTTTTTTTTTACAAGATTTCATCTTATAATCTATGGTTTTCATGGTGGAATTGGGGATTTTTGGGTAGAACTTAGGAATTTTGAAATTTGGGAATTATACCTCAAATTGAGATCGGATTCTGAAACCAATTATATATCCGGGCTCGGGGGTGAATGGATAATCGGAATTTGGTCTGAACTTTGATTTTTGACCATGCGGGCCCAGGCTCAATTTTTTGACTTTCTGGGGGAAAATGTTGGAAAACTTGTAATTATGCATTGGAATTGATTTATTTTGAGATAATTGATATTATTAAGTTAATTATGATTAGATACGAGTGGTTCGAAAGTGGAATCTAGAGGAAAAGCAGTGGTTGAGGCTTAATTTTGACCATGGAATCGAGGTAAGTGTTGTGGCTAACCTTAGTTTGAGGGATTACGTATTGTTGCCTTATCTTCTACTTGTTTAGTTGTTGAGTACGAAGTATAGGTGAGGTGATGAGTATCTATACGTTGTTGTCGGGTCATAGCATGCGAGTGAGTCTTATACTTGTGACTATTGTGTTTCTTTATACGTACTGCTCATGTTTAAACTGGTTATTCTTCATGTTAAACATGTCTTATTATGTTTTCCTGGTATTGGACATTTGTGAGTATTGACTCAAGTTGAGATTTATATTATGAAGATTAAATGTTGAAATGAGGTTGTTTATTGATGAATCCATTGTTGGGCTGTTATTATTTCTACTGTTTGGGTGAGGAAGAGTGTAAAGCACGAAGGGTGATGTCGTGCAATATTTTTTGAGTGAGTGATAAAGCACGAAGGGTGATGTCGTGCCATATTCTGTGAGTGTTAATTCACGAAGGGTAATGCCGTGCCATATTCCGATATTGATACACGAAGGGTGATGTCGTGCCATGTTATGAGAGAATTAATGCACGAAGGGTGATGCCGTGCCGTTTCTGTTGTTTCTTATGGTAAAGACGGGAGTAAAAGCACGAAGTGTGATGTCGTGCATATGTTGCTATGTTATTATTTACATTGGTTCAAAGCATGATATTTTCTGTGTTTTTGTACTGTTCTACTTTCAGAATTTGACATTCCCCTCAACATGTTTTCCCCCTTCCCGTTTTTATCTATTAAATTTCTGTTATTATTATTTTTTCATAAGTAATTTAACTGCACAGGTTTATGTTATTTATCGTGTCCTAGCCTCATCACTACTTCACCAAGGTTAGGGACGACACTTACCAGTACATGGAGTCGGTTGTACTGATACTGCACTCTGCACTTTCTATGCAGATTTTGGTGCCGGACCTCGTGATTAGAGTTAGGTTGTTGCCTTCTGTCCACTAGGAAACCCAAGGTAGATCTGTCGGCGTTCGCAGACCCTGGAGTCCCCTTCCCTCTATCTTAGTTTTCTTGTCTCCTTTCATTTCGAGAACAGATGTATTTCTTTTAAACCAGTATTTGTAGAAAATTCTTAAAAGTTCGTGGATTATGACACCAGTTCTTTTGGGTAGTCGTGTATTGGTGTTTTAAACTGTTATAAAATTTTCGCACTTCTTATTTGTTTAGTTTAAATTATTGTTAGTTACTGTTTTGGTTAATGATTAATGTGTTAGAACTGTATCTGTTGGCTTGCCTAGCATTCTAAGATTTAGGCGCCATCACGATCCCAACGGTAGAAAATCCGGATCGTGATAACTGCATTCTTTTTTATTGAAGGATACAATATTCAAACCAAATATCCAACAATATTCTAACTTGGTATGCAATATTCAAAGTAAATACGTCATATTATTCTAACTTGAAATATAATATTTAAACCAAATATATGACAATATTCTAATTTAGAATACAATATTCAAATTAAACATACTATAATATTTTAATTTGGAATATATAATGCCACAATATTCTAATTTGGACATTATTCAAACCAAATATACCACAATACTCTAATTTGGAATTTATCATTCAAAGTAAATATACCATAATATTTTAATTTGGAATACAGTATTCAAACAAAACATACTGTAGTATTCCAACTTAGAATACAATATTCAAACTAAACATACTACAATATTTTAATTTGGAATATACAAAAATTGATTTTGGAATACATTATGTATACAAGATCAAATAAATTTATAAAGTAGGTATACATGGTAAAATAAATTATAAAGTAGGTATACAGGATAAAACAAATATTTTAATAGTATATGGTGTTAGCTGGTATTTTCAATGGGTATACCGAGTAGATTTTCCTTAAAGAATTCATCTTTTAATATTAATTAATATTGAAATTGATCATATTAACATTTACTATCTTTTTAAATTGTTCATTGGAAATATAACAGATACTCTAATACTTTTTACTCTAAAGGTAACTTTGGAAAAAAGAAGTTAATTCCTTCTTACTATATGAAAAAATCAAATATTACGGATCTAAGAAATGACCAAAAAATCAATTAAAATAGAGGGAGTAATTTTCTTTTTGTGGAAGGTATGAAAATGTTTTGACACTATCTCACCAGAGATATAAGTGATCAGTACTGTAATAGAGAAGAAATTGTAGAGGGGAAGCGAAGTATGTGATTTGTGGGGATGACATGGGAACTGTTGAAACCAAGCACAACAAGAAATCTCCTATTTGTGGGCAAAACATATTCACAGTCTTTTAGAAAATTCTGAAAGCGAAAACCCACAAGTCTAACAGCTATATTCAGGTGTCTGTTAGTGACTTTTTGGCTTTTTCAGTGGATTCTTGTTGTTTTGGGTTCTTGTTCTCTATCTTCTTATTTGTCCTTTCTAATCCCCTCATTCACTATCCACTGCTGCTTCCCTAGTTACTTTACGTCTCTTCTTCTGCTTTATTCCTTTGCAATTTACTTGTTCACCAACAATTAAATTATTTTCTTTATATACTACTACCATAGTTTAATAAGTTTTAGTAACAAATTACCATACTTACTATTTTGACATGTAACAAACTAGTTAACTTTTAAATAGTAAATAATTTGACTTTTTTTAAATCGTACAACAACCAGAACAATTATGAGCCCATTTGAATTAGCTTATTTTAAGTACTTTTAAGTCAAAATAACTTTTAAACTATTTTATTGTGTTTGGATAAAGTAAAAAAGTGCTTTTAAGCACTTGTTTTTTTAAAGCAAAAATGACAAAAATAAGCCAAAAGCAAAAAACTAGAATTCCTAACTTATGACTTATGTTTAAAAGTCACTTAAAATAAGCTCATCCAAACGAGCTCTATGTCTAAGTTTGGGATCCACTTATATGAATCTTCAGGGGTCGTTTGGTACGGGATTAAGGATAATGATCCCATATTTATCCCATGTTGTATTATAAATAACTCCAGAAATAAATTTTACACTAAACTGATGGGATTAGATATCGCACATAAAAGGTGGGATATCTAATCTCATGATTTATATCCCACCATTGTACCAAACAAGTCCTCACAGTTTATATCACTACATTTAAGTCCTTTATTAACAGTGATTCACTGCATCTTTTAGCTGTCTGAAACTGAAAGGGGTGGCTCATGGAACGAGGAGAGTTGAGGTTCTTCCCTTTTCGGAGCTGCTTTCAATTCCTAATTTCCATTTGTTGAAGCTGCCTTCTGCAATACTCATCCTCCTTTTTGTCATTCCACGTCTCATCTCTTGGAATTACAGCACCGTCACAAAAAAACATACTCCTATCAGATAGAGGTTGACATTTGATTAAGTACTCATTCATTCACTCATCATTTTCATCATCTGCTTTAAAACTCTTTACACTTTTTCCTCACATCTCCATCGCCCCCATCTTTCCCTTTCTTGCTTTTTTACTACTCTCTACTCTTTATCTTTTGCCATCAAACTCCTGGAGCTGGTCCATATATACAAGATAAAAACACTCTCTTTCAAGTCCAATTATTCCTTTTGAAATTTGAAATGGGCTGCACTCGGAATTTCACTTGTCGCCAAACACTTCCTTATCTTACAATTTCATTTCTCATTCTCATGATTTTAAGCTTTTCCCACCTAACATTCAAGGCTGAGGGTATACTTTCTTTGCTTCTGTTAACTAAACAGAGTCTCCTCCTCTGTCTTTATCTTTCTCACTTACACGCACTCTGCAACATTAGAAGCTGTATTTGACGTGTGTAGTCCTATTCTTTTCATTTTACAGGTAGAATTTTGCATACAACTCACGGGCATGACCAGGTAAAATTGGCACATTGTTTCGCCGTCGTTAGCGTATCTTTTGTTTTCTGTCTTTGTTATGAGTGCATATATAAGCATTGTTTGATACTGATTTTCTTGGGGTTGTTTATGTTAGACAGAGAGCGAAAAGAATGCGATTTTCAGATCACAAATTGGGTCAAGGCCACCTAGGTGTGAAAAAAGATGTGGTTCTTGTGGACATTGTGAAGCCATTCAGGTTCCTACAAATCCCCAAATAACAAATGGTAACAAGAACCATACCGCAGCTACCAAAGCCAGCAGCAGTAGTATAGCCTATGCCAGAGACGATGACAACTCCAATTACAAGCCTATGAGTTGGAAATGCAAATGTGGAAATCTTATCTTCAACCCTTAAAGATACTAGTCCAAGTTTTGATCATCAATGGATGATCTACTGTTCACTACAATCCCCTTGTACATGAAGATTACTACTTTCTTGTCCAGCTTTAACCCAAATAATCCCTTAAATTTGGGCGTAAGTCTATTTTTGTCCTTATTGTATTACCTGTAATCGGATGATCGTTTTAAGTTTATAAAAGTTGAGCACTCTTTGTTCAAATTATGGAACTCTCAAATATGTAAATCTCATAAAACTAACGGAGGAACGGAAGTGTTGCTTATTTTCTACGTGTCCAAGTAAATTAACAACCATATTGATCGGACTATAAAAACTAACGAAAATGTCAGACATTAAAATAGAGTAAAACGATCCTGATAGAGATCCTCTCCAATTTCAAAAACAGAAAAGTCTTTTGCATACTATATATGCTCAAGATAATATAATTTTGTCCGAAAATAGAACGATCCTCAATCTTAAGGGATCATTTTGGTTAAGCACTAGTGTTGAATGGCTCCTATTTTTTTTCTTCCTACATCTGATTTGCGCTAGTGCTAACGTTAATCAGAAATTGTACCAGTTATATTCATTCATTACTGTTCTTATTGGTAATTCAACACTAGAAGCCGTATGAACCTTCCTACGATTGTGATGAAAGAATATGAGCGAATCTCTTGAGCGTGTAAATATGAGGTACAAAAAGACAGAAAGTAAATGTGAAAATCCGTAGAGGTTACTAAAAGGGCATATGTAATAATTGACCTTACTCTGATAACAAAATCAGGGCAGTAGAAGTAAGAGTAGGCAGGTGAAAGATTTGGTTAAAACTGTTTACTGAAAAGCAGAAAGCATCGGACGATCTGGCCGTATGTTTTATTTATTACTACTCCACAATATTAATGTGGATTTTAGATGCCACCAATTCCAGAGTTGTCCTTTTGATGAAAACAAAACCACTCTCCCCCAATTATATACACTGCTAAAATAGATATTATCACATTACGTTTCCCATATCTCAACACGCAAACGTTAAGTTATAAAATGAAAATGGAAACAAAATTAATTAGTGCCAGTTTCCTAGTTGTCTTCTGGCTCAATGTTACTTTTCTTGAATTGGAAGAAATCACTGGTTTTCTGGCATTGGAAAAAAGCATCTACGTTTTTTAGGCTGTGATCTTGTTTTAAAATTTTTTGTTTTTTAGAAGGCTGCGATCTCATTGTCTAAATAAGCAATTTTTGTTTCCTGCCCGAAGTAATTATTTGTATTACCATATTCTGGGACCTCATGCAAGCTAGCACATGTCAAACACTGAATTGGTCGATACGATATTTGTACCATTGCCAAGTAACCAAAAAGCAAAGGCTCTGTTTACTGAGAATTAAAAAAAATCAAATTTTGATTTAGGAACAATCTGGCATAAGGTCTATCGGAATGTATTAATTCCATTCTAGTTCAAAATTGCCAAACTTTTCCTATTTATTAAAATAAGATTGAGATTTATTACTCTGACATTTTAGCTGAGGTGTTCACCTTTCATGTTTTCCACCGAAGCACAATTTATCTGAAGGTAATCGTCATTTAATATAGTCAACTAACAAATTCTTTTTAACCACAATTTTCTAAAATAGCATACTGAAAAAATAAGTTTTCAAAATTTCTGGCCCAGAATTCCATTTATGAAAATTAAGTTGTAAGTAGATCAGGAATCCATTGCCCAGATGATCACTTAACTATCCAATATTACGGACTAAAGTTATTTTTCTTTCGTTTGTAACAGAAAAATCATTCAACTATTTCTATTGCACACAAATGGTCATTCGATCGAAATTATCAAACTTTCCAGTTGAAAAATATGACGTGGCAGTCCATATGAATTTTTTATACAGACAGACCTCTCTATAACAGCATCGTTTGTTCCGAAATTTTTCGGCTTTTATAGTGAATGACTGTTATACACCTATAACAACATTTGGCATTTAAATATATTTTGGCTGTTAAAGACAAAAATTATCCAAAAACTAATTGTTATTCTTTTTTAATATTATATGTAAAAGATTAATAAAATATTTAAATTCAAAATCTCAAAAGATATAAATATTTCACGAATTAAATGCTAAAGAAATCTAATACATTATTAAAAAATTCTTAACTAAACGCATAAATATTTAAACTCTAAGGCACACAATTAAAAAATACGAATAGATTACGTTTACATATTATTGGTAATTGTCCAATATAAGATATATCATGTATACATCTTCAAATAAAAAAAGAATGATATGCATATCTTCAAAAAGTATAAATAGATCTTTTAAGTATCTTTTGACATTTTTCTAATGCAAGATATATCATTTGTAGACCTTTAGTAATAAAAATATTTGATGTGTATATGTTCATGGAACATACTGCTATCCTTAAGATAATATATATATAGCTATTATAAGTTGTACATTAAAGTTATATGATATTTGCTTAAATATTAGAATTATTATTAGTAATAATCTTAGAAAATCTGCATGGTTGTTATATAGGGGTAATTTTACAAAGAGCGTATTGTCATAAAGATGGATGTTATTGTTATAGGCAGAATGTTGTTATAGAGAGGTAAAATATAACATAAAAAAGCGGTTCCGAGAAAAACTAGGCTTTTATAATGAATGGCTGTTATATATGGATGTTGTTATATATGGATGCTGTTATATAGAGATCTGATTATATTTGCGGACCAAATAAATTAATAATTACCCACAAAACATAGAAAATCCATACATAGATTCAACCCGACCCGCTAAAAATAAAAAATTCACCCTCTAAATAAAACTAAATGCTAAAAGACATCCTTGTTACATATGCATCTCTCTTCTTCTTCTAAAAAGTAGCTTTATTTTTCGTGGTTTCACTCGATCCTTAAGCTCGTAATCAAATATTATTTTATAAAAAGTAGAAGAAAGATCCTAAAAAGAAAAGAAGACTACAACTCACTCTATGTCATGACCCGGAATTTTCACTGTCGGATCGTGATGGCGCCTAACATTTCACTTGCTAGGCAAACCAACGTTAGAGATCATTAAGCCAAATTCTTAAGTTTTTCAGTGATGAACATCAAATAAGCTATAACAAGGTAAAAGAAAAATGCGGAAATCCATAATAACTTTAACACTTATACATAACTACCCAGAATCTGGTGTTACAATCCACAAACTACTAAGATTTAGCTACAAGTAAGGTGTCTGAAGGAAATACAACTGTTTTTGATAAAAATGAAACAGTAAAGGAAATGCATAGAAGGGGACGCTAGGGCTCGCGAACGCCAACAGGACTACCTTGGGTCTCCAAACAGATCAAACCAGCAGCTAGACTCAGGGTCAACTCGATTGGCCGGTACCAAAAATCTGCACAGAAAGTGTAGAATGCAGTATCAGTACAACCGATCCCATGTACTGGTAAGTGTCGAGTCTAGCCTCGACGAAGTAGTGACGAGGCTAAGACAAGATACATTCATAAACCTGTGCAGTTAAACAATATATGAGCACAATAATAACTAATAGAAGCTGAACAGATAATAATGGGAAGAGAAACATGCTGAGGGGAGTACAAGATAAAGAAAATTGTAGCAGTAAAGAAACCACAGCAGACAGTATGCTTTACACCAATGAAAGTATTAAACACAGTAAAGACAAGTGCACGACATCACCCTTCGTGCTTTTACTCTCAATCTCACCATAATAATTATCAGAAACGGTGCGGCATCACCCTTCGTGCATTAACTCTCATCCTCACCATATAAACAAAAGAAATGACACGACATCACTCTTCATGTATTAACACTCACATATCATGGCGCAGCATCACCCTTCGTGCATTAACACTCTCCCTCACTAAAATAATGAACAATAACAACAGAGGGATAGAAATATCAAGAGCTAGTCTTACTTCGACATGTAGTTCTACAATACCAACCTCAACTTTGAGTCAATACTCAATCAATACCAAATTCCATAAAATATGATAAGAGTTGCTCAACTTAACGAATAGCTAGTCTAAGCATGAACAATATGATCAAAAAATACAACAGTAACAAGAATAAGACTCACTCGCATGCTATGACTCGACAACAACACATAGGTGCTCGTCACCTTACCTATACATTGTACTCAACATCCAAACATGTAGCAAATAGGCAAATAATACTAATCCCTGAAGCCAAGGTTAACCACGACACTTACCTCGCTCCAACTGCCAAACTCATAGCTCAATCACAGCTTTTCCCTTTACGCAAGCCTCCAGACCAATAGAATCTAGCAATTTACCAACCAAACGATTCAAATAAAGCCTTAGGATCTACCCACGATTGCAAAGAATTCAATTTAGGATATTTTTAAAAAGGTCAACAAAAGTCAACACCCGGGCCCGCTTGGTCCAAACCTGAAATTCGGACCAAAATCCGATTACCCATTCACCTCCGAGTCCGAATATATAATTGGTGTTGGAATTCGACCTTAATTTGAGGTCTAAATCCCCAAATTTCGAAATCCTTAGTTTCTACCCAAAAAACCCCAATTTCACCATGAAAACCATATATTTTTTGTTGAATCTTATGAAAAGGTAGTGAAAGAAATTAGTTTAAGATCACTTACCAATGATTTGGGGAAGAAAAGTTATTTGAAAAATCCCCTCTTGTGGTTTAGGTTTTGAAAATTTGGGAAATGAACCAAAAATCTCGTCTAAGTCATCTTTTGTTCAGCAGTAGGTATCGCATTTGCGAATGAACAGTGTTTTCGCAATTGCCATAAATGGTTACCAATTGCGAATGAATAGTGTTTTCACAATTGCCATAAAAGGTTTGCAATTGCAAATGAACAGTGTCGCACCAGAAACCAACAAAACCCAAACTTCTCCGAAATGATCTGAAACCACCCTGAAACTCATCCGGAACCTCCCGGACACAAACCATATATGAATTTCAATCATAAAACACGCTACGGACCTACTCGCGCACTCAAAACATTGAAAAGAGGTCGTGTTAACCCGATATTGACCATGGTAAAACTCCCAAATTTCTTAACTTTACTAGTCTCTCAACCAAAGATCCAAAAATGCACCCAAGCCCCTCGGGACTCCAAACCAAAAGTACACACCAGTCTAAAAATATCATACGAACTTGCTCGCGCAATCAAATCACCAAAGTAATATCTGGAACTAAGAATTAA